AAAAAAGCTGACGTGAGCGTGCAACCCATGGGCAAATGGTTCATGCTTTTCAACCAATCAGATCGCGCGGATTTACTTGACTATATTATAATCAATGTTGTTTCTGCACAGTACAAGGTGCAACCCTCACTCAAATCAGAAACTGATCATCTCAACATTGCGAAGGGGGAGGGACAGTAAGTGATATAGTTTGTGTTTTTTTTTGGATGGGAAGGGGAAGTCAAGTATGAGTCTCAACTAGTTTTGGCGTGGATTGTGGCTTTAAAAAGTTCTGACTATGGAGCTAAAAGACGCTTCTATTATTTATTGCAATGGTGTGTCTACATTACTTATTGAAATCTGTCAAAGTTCAAGTTGATTGACAGTGATGGGAGACATACCTTGTTTTGTACCAGCCCTTATCATGATCAGTACATGTTCCCTAAAAGTACTGGCTTCTTGTATCTCCTGTTATTCTTTGTTTTAAATTTAAATTCATTTTTTCTAGGAGATTCCTCGGAAATAAGCCATCATCTAGTTAGATGCAGTAAATAAAATCCAAGGAAATGTTGGAACCTTAGTGAGTCGTCAAGAATTGAGACTAGGAAATTCTGTCATCAAGGCTGAATAAGACAAATCTCTCAGCTAAGTCAAGGACATACAAAGTGGAGTGGAGATTAGGTTTTTAATACCTAATACACAATTTGAACAAATGTTGTCCAACTGACATCCCCACTTAAGCCAGTCCAACTACCTTAATGTAACTTCTATCTACTAGCAAGAACAAGCAAAGCAAGAGAATATTAGAAAAGTTTATAAATGGCTTTAGGACCAATGAACATAATTCAATTCATATTAAACAATTAGAATTTGTATCTCAGGTTTTTAGTTCAGTAATGTCGCAGCCGGTAAAAAGAGCTGTTGAAATTGGGGTAGTTTGTGGGGATCCAGTAAACCCCCAGAAACCTCTAGATCTGCCCCTGAAAGTAAGTAAATTATTCTAATCATACTTAACTTACCTTGTTAATGTTGGGCTCTCACTGTAACATACTGTCACATTTCAAATTTTATACACGAAAAAATCCTTCCACTGGACCGTTAAATCTTGTAGTAACATCAATATTAATGAATGAAATGCAAGCAGTATTTTGAAATATTAGTAACGAGCTATTGACATGACATTGTGCTATAAGGATGTCAGCAATGTGTTTTATATATGGCCCAAATTCTGTATTTTAAATAGTAGATATAAATTTATTTAATAAAATTAGTAGACACTTGCTGGATTGAGTAAACTTAAACCATGCTACTCAAAAGCTTTGAATAAAATATTGCTTAAAGAAATGAGTGAAAGTTTTAAATAAAGTCTATTGTTCATGATTCAACGATAATACGACCACCTTTCAAAAGGAATAAATCAAGGAGTGCGTAGCACCCTACAAGTTGAGGGGGGGAACTAAAAGTTCTGGGGGGAGGGGGGGGTATTGCAGACTAGCTAGTATGTTATGACTAAATGTTGGGGCTGAGATTTAGAATAACTGGGCTATGGCCCACTTTTGCAATCCCCGCCACTTTATATGTAGTCCTAAGTACCCCCATCTCTTACCCCCTTTCCAAAAAAATAAAAAAATAATCTTAATTATAATATATATGAAGCCTGCAAAAATATGACCAGTGAAACCTGTCCACCATTGCATAAAAATATATAACTCATTAGCTAGTTATTGTGTTACTGTTACCAACCTCTTATTAGCAACATTTTTTTTTWATTTGGTGGCCTGGAAATCCATAATTTCAAGAGCAAAAATGACACCTCAGTTTTGCACATTTTCTCATTACTGCTTGGGTAACATTTCCTCTTAGATCAGCTGGCTATCTGTAATGAAGGTGAGATGTGAGAAGAAGCTCATATGTCCTGTGTAAGTTACTAGCTATGAGAAAGAAATCACAATAACATCAACCAAACCCAAATGCAAACAAGAGACTTTAGTATAACATGGTATGTCAAGGGCGGATCCAGCCAAAATTTTAGGGGGGGGGGCTAATTGAGTTTCTTTCGTCAACACAGCAGAAAACGATAGAAAAAAGCATATAATTCTTCAGTTTGTTTTGTTTGTTTTTTGCTAAAGGGGGGTGGGCTTCAGCCCCCCTTTGCCCCCCCCCTGGATCCGCCCTTGTTGCTGTTATTATGCTTGTATGTTGCTATTTCACTCTACGTTGGCCAATCAAGTCTGGGTGATTTGAATTTGGTTTTGGTTTGGAAGATTACATCATCTYGATTGACGGAAGGGAAAACCAATATTCATAACAAGCGTATGAAATGTCTGAGTTTGCAGAATATTGAAAATCACAGTAAAGAATGACTTGGGACAGTGAATCTCTTCTGTACAATGAAACCCTCCAAACTAAAATYATATAGTTCAATTTTTACTAACTAAAATCATTTAAAACCAATATTAACAACACACTACTGACAAGCTATCTTAGATCGCAGATTTCAGATCTGACTGACGTTTTTTTTAAAATAGGTATATATTACTACTAATGTTAATGAATATTTATGTTTTTTTATGAAATGATAATATATAACCATTACCATTTTGGCTACAGGGATGGATCTTAGGCCAAGGATCATAGACACTTAATGGTTCTTTGATGCCATTCCTTAACAAGACCTGCCATGATTTAAACAGACCCCTAAGATCCCACAAGGAAAGTGTGCTTTTGGGATATATAGTACATACTATGTACTTATTGACTGAGTTAGGTGATGCCGTACGGACCTTGCTCCAAATATTTTCCAATACGGCCTGACCTAACCCAGTCAATAAGCATTTTATCATATGACCCTAAATATAAAACATTTTTTTAAAAGTTGCAAATTATGTCAATACGCTCGCAGGTTTCGAGCATGGCCGTATGGATTCATATGGCCCTGCTCGCTCAAAGCGGTATGGTCCTGCTTATCATATGGGTCATATGATAAATGATTTTATCTAAGGGTTTAATAACCACCAACTAAAAATCATGGATCCAGGATCTATTAAAAATACAGGTAATTAATACATGATGCTAATCACACTACAATCACCTTTACAACGATATTTTATACTTTTCATTTTCTTTCTTTTTTTCTTTTTCAATTTTTAATTAATTATTTTTTTGATTTGTATATGTAATAGGACTCCATGCTGTCCAATTAAGAAAAAATTGGATGAGGAAAATTCTGAGGACTGACAAAATTGGATGAGGCCATAGGCCAAATCCAATTTGGCAGTCAGAGGAATTTTTAGAGTCTAATTATTTCTTGATTGGGGAGCATGAAATCCCATTACCTATATATAGCTGCCTAATTAATACCATATCAACAACACCTGTCCAATTAAGAAAACAATTGGACAGTTACCTATATGGGATTAATGAGAAGCTGTATAATTAATTATTTAATTAATGCTTTTAGATGTATGCACTGTGACGTGCATGCTTATATAATGCTAAATCATGTTACAATACCATTATGCTTATCATCATTCGTTTTGGTAATTGTGTACTTTATCATCAGCCAACAATCGGCTGACTGATGACCATGATCGGCTGACTGTCATCCCATGATTGGACAACAGTGCAACGATTTAGTTGCAAATCCTTCTAACTTCCCAATATAAAATAAAAGTGCATGTTGATGAAGTGAGGATAAAATCTTAACCAATGATCTGGCAACAGTTGGCTGATTGTCAACTGACACATCAGCAATCAAGGAAAAAGTAAATGATTAACAATATTCTTTCAGCCTACAGTGTCAGTGGTCCTCCTTTTTCAATGTCTTAGGAGTAGTGTGAAACATGAAGATGAAGGCAGATCAAGAAAACAAAGCAAATATTTTCTGTTTTCATTGATACGTGCTGATCAAGACAACAGYTGCCACAGGAAAATCGTTCAATACACTGCCATCAATCAAATGAATCATTAGAGAACAGGGCTTACAAAATCAGACAAGGATCAGACAATATCCAGCCACAACTGGTCAAATCTCTGCCTTGCCAGTCATTTTGACCAGTAATCTTTGGCCAGAAATAAGGTATGACTAAGCTTAATACTAATTTGGCCTGAAAAATTTGATCATGTCCAGGCAGAACTGGGGCTTGTCCAGTCAAATCTGTGCCTTGGTTCAAGAAAATATCCATACTACCCCCACCCCACCCCATCCCACAGAGGAATTTGGGATTTCCGGGGTAGGGGGGATCAGAGAAAGAACAAAATTACAAAGTTTGTATGGAAAAAAATTGGAATTTCTGGGGGAAGGGCGAGTCTTTAAAAAATCTTTTACCTGATTTCCTTGTCCAACTTTTGTCATGATCAGCTCAGTAATAAAAACTAATTTAAACAAATAGTGATACAGTAAGCCCCAAACAAAAAATRAAAGTCAATCTGGGACGTTTGACAAACCAGAAGCTAGAAACACATATAGCAGTTATGTAAACTTTGATGGTGGGGAAAACCTGTGTGTTGTTGCTCCAATGAACCAAAAAGGAATGTACAAGAATTCTGGAACAAGCCAGGCCATGCTTGGGTAATAATGTTGGGCCAGTTGTTTTACTTGTCTGAAAGACAAATGCTGAGCACCTGTGGAGGGACAATTATTGTTTATTAAGATATTTAACAATAGAATTGAATTGAATAGTGGAAATTTATGTAAAAAAGGCTGATCAGAGAAATTCCTCCCAAGGAGATCTCTCTTCCCTCTCTCCCCTCTTCCTTCTTTCCCTCCCTCCCTCTCTCAGAGAAAACATGATCAGCAATTGATGGATATTGTTTTCATCACAGGTACAGTAGTAGACAGATCTTCTCCATYCCTTCTCCTACAGATTACATTTGATCAATTGACCTGATGGATATTGTTAAATCATGACAAGTGTTTAGCAATAGAGTCACAGGAATGACAGATCTCATCCATCCCTCCATACAGATGCATTGACAATTAAAATTCTAATWATATGAATCAGTAGACTGAGACAGTTTGTGAGTAGAGATTGTTCAGAGATCTTCCTTCAATCGAGGGGTTTCTTCAAGTTTCTCTGGTTTTCCTCCTTCTGCTAAATTCATGCTAAATTCCAATTTTGATCTATGGATTTTATCTATGCCCTGACTTAATACAATAGATCAGCCCAAAAGTTGCTTCAAATTGTAATTTGAATCAAAATTACCTCCCACGTCTGTAAAGCCATATTCTTTGGCCAACTCYGCAACAATGAGCACACGGCCACTCTTTTTCATGACATTTGGATCTTGAAAGAAAAAGCAAATTATCATAAATTAATGTTTAACTCTCCTCTCTAGGTGTCTCTTTGCTTTTTTTCCTATACTGGGCTTCCTGTGTAAGCAGAGCATTAACAGAGTGAACTAGTACCTAACCTTTCCCTCCCCCACTCGTCTTAGTCTTCCATGTTTTCACCACAGGAAACCCATTCTTCTCAAATCGCAACAAAAACCCAAGTGAGTAGCCTGCATAGGAGGCTATAAACTATTCATATTATCATAATTTTAATACTGGTAAATGTCTAGATGAGCATTAAAATAAAATCCAGTAAAATTCAGCTTAAGGATACACGGAACACAATTTTCGTCAAAAATATATATTTTTTGAAACCATGCTATATCAAATATAAAAGTAAAATCTTTAATTTTATATAAAAATTAAGTTATTATTTATTTCATTAAGGGAGATATTCGAAAAAAAGCATTTTTAGAAGTTACCAGTAGGTGTTGTGCTGTTGACAGGAACTGTCATTTATCTATTCACCGGAAGTCGATTGATCCAAGTAAGTTTGACGTCAGTTTAAAGAAGAAGTTTGTAAGTAAGTTTGAAGAAGAGGGAGAAGAAGAACAACAAAACATTCTGTTGTTCTCTGGTTTGCTCAGCATTTCGCCCTCGGCCTCGGCCTCTTCCTCGGCCCCTTCCTCGGCCTCTTCCTCGGACCCTTCCTCAGCCCCCCTCAGTTGAACTAGATGTTCGACCTCTGGTTTTGACCATCATGAACTCGAAATGAACTTCAAGATTTAGGTAAACACCGCGCGAAGGTCAATAAGCTTGAGACCGGAAGTACAGTATACCCGCTGTCCTGGCCATGGTCCGGTATCACATTACTAACTTTACGCTCATTGGCGTACTGTGCAGAAACTTGTCAACATTGAGTAAATAAACTTATAATCCCATTAAACTAAACTTGTGTTTTTCTCAAAAGTAGTTTTTGGTAAAATACACATTTTCAGAAGGTTTATTCTCCCTCGGTTTTTGATCAATTACCGTGAAACTTGGCATGTGGATTCCTACTATGCTCRAGTTCAAAATTGTGTCTGCGTTTTTTCATTTTCCTTTTCTTTTCTCAGATATTTGCCATTTTCTCAAGAATGCCCTTAAAAACATGTAGTTATRACTTTGGAATTGAATAAAAGATTAAAGAAGCGCTAAAAGAAAAAACGCAGACACACTTTGGTAGAACAACATACGTGTAATAAGATGCAAAAAAAATTTGATCCGTTTATGCTAACCAGAGGGAGAACAAACATCTCGCGTCGAACCATAGCGTTTGCAATCAATGCCCGATTTATCCAAAATGAATTATTTTTGTCCAAAAGTAAAATTGAATATGCAATATTTGAACTTTAAGCTGTTAGAAAATGTATACTTTATGGGGAAATTTATATAAACTAAACACGCTATGAGCGTTCAAAAAACCCGACCCGATTGTGTTCCGTGTATCCTTAATAAGTATRTGTAATAGGACTCCATGCGCTGTCCAATTAAGAAATAATTGGACGACGAAAATTCCAAGGACTGACAAAATTGAATGAGGCCGTAGGCCGAGTCCAATTTGGCAGTCAGAGGAATTTTTCGAGTCT